CATCAGTTACTTTTATAACCTATGTTAAATAGAAAAACGGGGTATATTTTAAAATTTTATGAAATATTCTACGTCAGCTATAGCTGGAACCGATGTTAATAACAAAACGGGGTCTTTTTTACAATTAATGAAAACTTAATCCACATCAGTTAAAACCAATTTAAAGAACATTAAAAAAAAGAAAACGTGAACGTTATTCCTGATCAGGTTTAACCGATCTCTATCAATTAAAACTTCAAATCGCTCGTACCTCTGGTTATAACTTACAGAGTTACAGATCGTTTGAAACCTAGCAGAGGGTCGCTAATGATAGGGCAGCTGAGCAGGGGTATCCGGCGTTATTGCCGTTACTGTGGCCTAAGGTTTCCGCGACTCCGGAGTTAAGTGCGATTCCGACCTGCGGCGTTCGAGTGTCACAACATTTCTCCCCTTCATCATTGGACAGTGGAGTCGTCTAGTGGCGTCTGTGGAGCCGTCCATTTGCGTCGGTGAAGTCTTCCAGAGCAGCGCTAGAGACTTTGAGTCATCTACAGAGCATCGCCACTACCTTCATCGACGCAGTAGGTAAGCTAGTGCTAAATTTGACATTGCATATATGGTGTTTGTTAAAATGCTTGATAGTAAAATCTCTCCCCTTCTCTCGCAAGGTTATCTAGTGTTTCTACTGTGGTGATATTCAGGCTTATCATTGAAGCTAGACCTGTTATCTTGGTGTAATACTGGTTTGTGATTGTTGGGGGGATTTGTTTTTAGTTTATGTAGATATTGGGTGGGGAAGATTTACTTGTAGCAGGCTATTTTTTTGTCATGTTTGCAATTATCTTTTGCTTGGTTAGTCATGTCTGCATATTTCAACATCCAACACTTGTTTTATCAGTGGAGTACTGGAGTAATACAATGAACAGGTCTGATAAAAAATAAAGAACAAAATGACATGTCTGCGGGAGTAAACTAGGTTATTGCAAATTGAGTCAGTGCCAAGAACAGCTAGTTCATTTTCTGGCTAGCAGTTTGAGTCACCGAGCTTTGCTGCTTCGAGCAGTTCAGGGGCCACATTCCTCAGCTCTGAAAACACGCTTAATCTGTGGCGCCCAAAAATATTTGGCGACCCAGCCTCCCTTTATAGTATAGGCCGAACACAGGTTTGCGGCGTCCACCTATCTAGGGTTTATAAGATACATTTTTTCTTTTCAATCTTCTCCATATTTATGAATTTTGGGCTAGAAATTTATTGATCCATTGACCATGATATTTTGGTCAATTTGTCAATTATATGAATAGCGTCTCTATTTTTTGTATTTTTCCGTTCCTTCAATCTGTCAATTTGTTAATGCCGAAGCATTTTTTTTATTCTCTGAGTAGATAGTATTGTTATCCCATTTATTGTGTTTCATTTCATTCCTCATTTCAAGATCAGGATTCTTCCATTTGACAGAGCCATTTTTTGTTGTGCTTATATTTCATTTGCTTATTATTACTTTTGCAGGTTATATTTTTTGTCTCAAGAATACATTGACAGTGATTTAAAAACAGGCAGCAGCCTCTGTGTCCTCCAACCTTAATGAGGCATTAAAATCACTTACTCTTTTGACTAAATTTACAGAGGGTATGTATATTCATATATCTGATTTGGATTTTTTTATGTTGTCCATTGACCATCTCAACTTATGAAATATATAAAGATAATTAAATTTTTATTATTACTGATTTGAAGTATGTTTTTCGTGATTACAGGGCTAAAAAGTGATTTCATCCCATTCTCCTTATATTCATGTGCGCGGTCTGCTTACATGTGTTTTATATTTGAATGTGTTTTATATTTGAATGTATTTGCAAAATATTTGTCAAGTCCTGTGTCATTGGCAGAAAATGACACCATCTGGTCCAATCAAACATTTATAAGGCATGTAAAAAATATTATTGCATGCATTTTCTTGTGCAGAGTTCAATGATGATGTGGCAAACATTTCAAATATAAGTTCCTCACACCCTAAATCACTTATATTAGCTTGTCAGTCGTATTTAATATGTAGCATATTTAAGTTAATTTATAGATGTATGATGCTATGTTCATATCTATTTAATTTACAAAAGTACTCATTTTTACAAATTCGATTTGATTTTTCTTTGATTTGTTCATGTCAGCAGTTTATTGGCTGAGTGTGATTTTGTGAAGGAGGCATTGCACATATCTACTGCTCCATCAAACATAGTTTGCCGAGAAGTCAAGCAAAATAGAGTTTTGGTGTCTTGCAAGCAATGTGTTAAGCAGGAATAGGCTGGCAGTTTGTATGTTTGTGGATGTCCAGGAACTAGCAGTCACTCTCAATGGAAAAGGTCCAAGAAGAATTAATTGAATGGGCTAAGAAGGTAATGCACTTGCATGGAGTTACTAATGCATTACATGATGATGGCAATTTTAATTTTCTGCTAGCATGGAATTAAATTTTAATTTTAATTGCATGGAGTCCGAACAAATACGTTATGGTTTGTCTGGGAACTAGTATTGGTAATTCTATAAGTTTATGTGGATAATTTGCTTCTGGGTCAATAACTCATCATATAAAATTACACTTTCTTGGATAAAACAACTTTTGATGCAAATTATCATTGATCTATTAGTACTTCACTCAGACTACCATTCAAAATTAAACCCTGGAAAACATATTGAAGAAAAGAAAAATAGTAAAATTTAGAAATTTAAAAGTTTCTGATGCAAAATTTACTTATAAGTTTAACTTTAATGCATTTTCCACATAAAATAGTAAAAGTAATAAAAGAAAAATAGAAGAGTAAAAAACAAAGGATAACAAAACGATTCTACTGTAGTACCCCCCCCCCCCTCCCGCACCAATTTTTAGTTCCAAAACTAGCCTTACTTGAAACACTTGACAAATAGTTAATTCCAGTGATGAAACTTCTAACTATAGCAAGAAATGATAATATATAAGATCTGAACTCTTAGTCTCTAGTTTCAAACATTGATTCAAAACACGTGTATATTTAGTTACTTCAATGTTATCACCGAAGTGTCATGTAGTATTAGAGATAATATTGTTTGTCTGCTTTGTTTATTGGTTTAACCAGCTAAAAATCTACCTAGGTAAACACTTCTAGTTTTGCGTATTCATATGAATACTTGGTTGTTGATTTACATTTTTAATCTGTTAAGTTAATTTTCTGAACTGAGAGAAAATAACACTTCTAACCTCACGTTAATGTACTGTTTCCTTTGATTTATAACTTTTTATAGTGGTTGTCTTTTCATCTATCATGAAAGACAGTGAGAAGGGGAAATTATTAAACCACAATTCATGCATCAGAAAACTCATGTATTTTTTGCATTTTCATCATTCACTATAATGAGTTTATATTGCAATTTGTCATTTAGATCATTTATTTTCTGATTTAATAATTAATTTTGATATTTTATGAATTGCACAGATTTGTCTATGCGAATCCATTCTCTCCCGAAGATATATATCACACACGAGCTTAGCTTATTGGGCATCATTTTGTTGAAATCGCAGATTCTGTCAAAGACATGAGATGATCGGAATAAAACTTTTTTTTATAGTATTCCGCCTTATTTTAGTAGTAGTTTTATGGACATATTGGAATTTGAGCTTGTAGTTTATAAGTATACTTTGAATGATTTAATTTGAAAATTTTATTATGTATGGTGTTACTTGTTTCCTCTATAGAATGTCTGGTATTGCACAATTGTTGTGGATGAGCATGGGTGAAGGTTGTTCGAAAGTTGCTAATGTCAACTTATGGGTTATAACACAATTTTTGACCTATGAGATCAGTTGATTTTACATAGGCCAGATTGAAAGACCTTTTACATCAGTTATAACACAACCGACTTTGAATAATTTTACATCGGTTATAAACGATGTAGAATGCGTTGTGAGCCGTAGGATATCTACTTTTTACATCGGGTTTTCTTAATAACCGATGTTAATAAATGTTATCAGATCGGTCAATAACCGATCTAGAAAGTACAAACTTTTCACATCGGTTGTAACCGATGTGGAATACCATTTAAAATGCCGTTTGGGACAATCTTCTAGATCGGGCACTGCATGACCGATGTAGAAAGTTTTTTCACATCGGTTCGTTGACCGAAGTGAAAAGTCTCTACTTTTCACATGTGCTGGAACCACATCGGTTGTTTGACTGATGTGAAAAGCCTTTTTTGACTGATGTGAAAAGCCTTTTTTGTACTAGTGTCTTGTGTTTGGAACAATATCAGGGAGAAAGTGTCACACCTTACAAGTTGGAAAACAAAATGCACCCTTTCGTTTATGCAGGCAAAGTGGTCACATCTAACGTATCCAAAGAGCTCGTAGGGTAAGTAAATATATACAGAGTACATACTTATGTATTTTCTCAGAAAATATATGAAACACGTCAACATATCCATTACAGAGCATGTTGACGTGATGAATAGTCAGAATTTATTCATCTAGAATATTTAGAATCATGATCATTTATCACACCAACATACTCCAAAGTTTAAATTTTATTCTTTTCCTACCTGAAACCCTGTTAAGTCAAACATGAAAGTTAATTTCGGGATGGAGGGAGTATAATTTTACTGAAATTACTCCCCTTCAAAGGAGTTTTGATGTGCCGGTAATGCACGTGGTTGAGATTTAAGAACTCACGGGTTCAAGTTTTGAAGCGACCTCTTGTTAAATATTTGATTGGGAAGACTTGCCCTTTATATACCCTTGTGATGAGACCCTTGTCTCAACCTCACCTTGTCGTGATGCCTTCGTGCATCAAGTTGCCTTTTTACTCAAATTATTCCCTCAATCCATATTGCTCTATTTTGAACTTTGGAATCAAAACTTGTCAAGTTTTGAGTCGTGGGGTGTTTGCAGGCAATGCCTACCAAACTCTCTATCGCCCGAAAAGGTGAAAGGAAAGATTGTGATGTGCATGCGAGGGCAGGGGATGAGGGTGGGAAAGGGAGGGGAAGTGAAAAGGGTGGGTGGAGTAGGATTCGTACTCGCAAACAGCAAAGCAAACGGAGCTGAAGTCGGTCTTGATGCTCATCTCCTTCCAGCAATCGCGGTGGGCTACAGAGCTGCAAAAGAGATTATAAAGTATATACAGTCCACAAAGGTGCCAAAGGCCAATATCTTTCCTGCCAAAACAGTATTGCACACTAAACCGGCACCCTTCATGACGGCCATGACAAGTCGAGGACCAAATGCAATTTCACCTGACATCCTCAAGGTAACCACCACCATGGCATGCGGGACAATAAATGGTCTGATAATCTCACTAACTTCCTCGAGATGATCTCTTTTATTAATTAATGTCATAGGTGGATATAGTTGCACCGGGGCTTAACATATTGGCAGCATGGAGTGAGAAATCATCACCTACAAACCTCGACATTGATCATAGAGTGGTAAAGTATAATATATTATCAGGAACTTCAATGGCGTGCCCCCATGTGAGCGGAGCCGCTGCACTTCTCAAGGCCATTCATCCTCATTGGAGCAGTGCTGCAATCCGATCAACTCTCATTACTTCAGGTTCCTTCTTGCACACAGGCATATTATCTATGGTGTTATATACTTATATTATTATATACATGAAATCCCCTACATAGTTTTTCAATATCACACATTGGTTTGTAGTCTCGAATGAAGTGATAGGCAAATTAAACCCGATCTCTTCGAGGAGTATATTTGGATGGCGGGATTTTGGGGGAGTTTTTGAGAGATAGATTAAGGTAGCCTGAAAATAAGTATTGTAATATTTTAAGATATGTTACTAAAACCCATCATCCAAACACACCGTTAGAGAGCAGGTGGTGCATGGGTGAGATCCATTTTAACAAATTTTATGCATCAAGTATTATAGTTCTCATATTTCTACATGAAAGCAGCCGGGTTGAGAAACAATATGGGGAAGCAAATAACAGATGCAAATGGCCTCCCGGCAGATCCATTCCAATTCGGGGGAGGATACTTCAGACCAGCAAAAGCAGCAGATCCTGGGCTGGTGTACAACACCTCTTACTCTGATTATCTTCTCTTCCTATGCGTGAACGGAGTCAAGGGAATCGACTCATCCTTTAAGTGCCCCAAACATGCCCCACTGCCTTCCAGCCTCAACTATCCATCCATAGCAATACCCAAACTAAAAGGAGTTGTGATTGTCAAGAGAATAGTCACAAATGTTGGTAGCAGCAGAAGTCTTTACTCTTCTAGTGTTACGCCTCCGTTGGGATTCTCGGTTAAGATTTCTCCTCCCATATTGTACTTCAACCGGACAGGTCAGACAAAAAGATTTACTGTTACTGTTCAAGCGCGCACGGATATGAAGATGAACATGGTGAAAGAGAAGTATGAGTTTGGATGGCTGACTTGGAATGATGGGGTACATGCTGTTAGAAGTCCCATTGTTGTGTCATTGGCATAGTTTTATGTTCTTATTATACTTTTGTATAAGCAACTCAAGAATAATGATGTAGTAGTCTTGGACTTGTTCATCCCATGCATTAATTAATATCTAAATATGGTGGCTAATAAAGTTCTATTTTGAGCCATTTCTAGCATTTCAGCAAAAAAAAAAATAACTTGCATTCTTGTTTTTCATTATTAGCTGATAATGAAAAATTGAAAGGTCGAGACTTGAGACCATATACACAACAAATGCACAATCAATTTAAGCAATATTGAATTGTTCAGGATAGGGAGAAATCCATAGCTTAGACAGTAGAGAGAAACGAAATGATAAACTTAAATGTATAAGTAATAAGTGGGTCACTCATAAAGTCATAAGCCATTAGGCCCCTAACCTGTTATAGCTTGTGCATTGATTTACCTGACTAAAAATAAAATGGCGTACAAGAAAATTACTCGTATGTACGTTAGCACAGGTAATAGTCTAAGCACATGAATAATATACTACGTATAACAATAGGAAAAATTGAAAATAATAATCCCAACTATTGCTGATCCGCTGACAATTATCTCAACTATTGATTATTTTTGTATAATCCCAATTATATGGACCGTCCACCAATAATGGTCCATGACCAGATATTACCTCTTATAACAAGTGTTTTTGTAATAGAAATTAAGCATAAAAATTAAAAGTTGGATTATTTATAGGGATTAATTACTTGTTATATCTCTTCTCATCCATTTTAAAAACTACAAGAATTTATTTATAGGGACTATTATTGGCCAAAGGTCCCTAAAGTTGGGATTATTCTGAAATAATCGATAGTTGGGATTATTATGAGCGGACCGCCAATAGTTAGGATTATTACTATCAAGTTTTCCTAAAACAATATTGATCTTTAACTTTCTTGATCAGTGGTGTTTAAATTTTGAAAACAAAACTATTTATACTAAGGCTGGACATAAAAATCGATCAATAACTTAGGAATCAATTGGACAAAATTTTGGTATTCTTTATATAATCTTTCTACCTTCTTCGTATAAATGTTTTATTAATGCAAAAAGTTGATTTTGTTTCACTTATTAACTTATATGCGTGTACGTGTTGTTAACAAATTGTTCTAATGAAATAAAAAATAAATGTGGTGATTGACTTTGAGAGTTAGGATGTTTTTACTTAGACTGAAATTTGTTGGTCTGGTCTGTTCTGAACTAGTTTTGTTTGGTCTGGTAAACGTCTGGTCTTTGTGTATTTTATAACTACGGAAGTCTGGTCTGGTCTGTTTAAGTCCGGTCTGCTCTGGGACCGAAAACAGTTCAAGTAAAAACATCCTTGTTGGCTCTTTAATACGAATAATTGAAATTGTGATTGGAATTTGTAATAAGTTGATGTTTTGCCAATAAGAAAAGCCCATATTCAAACATAAAAGTTTACAACAAAAAGTGGTGATTTTCCATGTTAATACGAGATTATATATCCCTTCAAAATTACGGGAATAAAAATTGGAATAATAACAAAAATAATAGTCCTAGGTTTTTCTTAGACACAGACAATACTACTTTTAAATCTGGACAAAAAAGAGACTAGTTAGATATGAATGGACAACGATACCCTCAAATAAATATAAAACCAAACCTATACACAAACCTATCTTCTCCGCTGCAGCCAAGCCGCACCATCATCTTCCATTACTGCTACGGCTAATAATGTCGCCGCCGCTGCCAAGGCCATCACCGTCTCCATCTCCGTCTCTGAGCCATCGCTATCTTCACACTATCACCGTCTACATGTTTAGTCCTATTTAAGTATAAAACATGGACCCCAATTTAGGGAATCGGACCTTGTTTTACTCCTATTACTTATTCTGGGCAATTACTAACGATAAAACTAATAGACAACATGAAATATAGCCTATTGCATGTGAAACATGACCTTAGAAATCAAACTTGTTCCAGAGATCCTGTCATTTGATTGCCAGCAAATAAGCTAGATTATCCAAATATGCTAGAGCTTAACCAAATAAGCTAATTGGCTACTACAAAGTAGCCATCATAGGATTAGTAGACATGCAACATCATGCTGGAAGATTTAGACATGTATGTTGGTTTATGCACAAAAGCTCAACTTACCACCTAGAAGAAAAGGAGCGGCTGCTAAGAGGTAAAATGAACTTTTGGGCTAAACCATATAATCAAAAGTTTAAACCATAGACACTACAATTTAACCAGCAATGACCGTTCAAGTGGATGCAGAATACAGCTTCCCTAAAAAAATAGCTTGTACCTTAATTTAGTTGACTAAACCTAAAATGTGGTGCTTGTACATTTAGAGAGAGTTAGGCCTAGACTCGGGGCGGTTCGGGCCCGGGCCGGGCCTAGGCCCGACCAAGTCGGCGGTTCTGGAATGGGGGGCCCGGAACCGGCCCGGGTAATCCCCGGTTCTGGTTTGGGCCGAGCCAGGCCTCGGGCCTTAGTTAATTTTTTTTTCCTTTCCCTAGTTAACCCCCCCCCCCCCCAAACCACCCCAAATTAGGCATGGACCCGGTTCGGGCCGCCCGGCCCGGGACCGGCCCGCCACTGTGCGAGCCCGGAACCGGCCCGGTTCGCGGGTCCGGGTCGGGCCTAGGACCGGTGGGGTGGGCGGGTCCGGGCTCGGGCCTTGTATTTGGCGAACCGGCCCGGCCGGGTCGGGCCCGGGCCCGGGCCGAATTGATTTTTTTTTATTTTTTTTTCTTTTTTTGGGGTTAGCCAGGTTGGGCTTGATGGTTAGGAGGGGTTTGGGGGGGTGGGGGGTGAGTGGGGGGGTTAGGAAAGCAAAAAAAAAAAAATTTATGACCGAACCGGAGGCCCGGCCCGGCCCGGCCCGGACCCGGACCCGGACCGGACCCGGACCGGACCCGGTGGCTACCCGGGCCGGTCCCGGGCCTTCCTTCCCAAAAAAAAAGCCCGGCCGGGCCCGGCCCGGAACCCGAACCGGGCCGGGTCCATGACTACCCCAAATGGCACAAAATACCCAGCCCAACCCAAAAAATAAAAAAATTGAAAAAAAACATAAAAAGGCCCGTAAAAAGGCCCGTTACCTGGCCCGAACCGGTTCATAATTTGGGGGGCCCGAGCCCGAACCGGAACCCACGCGGGTCGAGCCTACCCAGACCGGTCACTGACCGGGCCACCGGACCGGGCCGGAACAGTGCCAGTTCGGGCTGGTTCCGAGTCGGGCCACCCGGCCCGAGTCCACCACTAGAGAGAGTATAAAAAATCCCTCCCGTTTCTTTTAACACATCTAGTAATCTAATATTTAACTAAAGCACAACACACCGTTAAAACCTAGTAACCTTTTGAGATGAGGCTTTTCAGAGCTCTATCATTCTCATTCTAAAGCTTACAAGCTAAACACTATCTACATCTGACTATTCCAGATGAGGCTTTAAACTCAAGAAAGATGGTGTCAGGAGGTGTGGGCTTTTTTAGAGCTCTATAATTCCCATTCTAAAGCTTACAAGTTCAACATTATCTAAATCTGACCATTCCAGAAGGCTTTAAACTCGAGAAAGATGATGTCAGGAGTTGCAGGCTTTCTTCATCTCATGGGTCTTGTTTTACCCTAACACGTTCACCCTTGAAATGAATATACTTCCATTCTTTCCTATACCTTTTCAGAACCATCTCCTGCTTTCCTGGGAGCCCAAGTGTCTGAAAAGCTCTAGCAATTCTTTTTACAGTATCTTCATCAGGAGTTACAGATAACTCTTCCATGTCTGCAAAAACCTGAAGTTTTTCATTTATGTACATTTTCAAAAAGTGTCCTGGCAAATAAGTATCAAGCTACAAATTATCAAGCTCTAAGGGTCATTAGAAAAATAAAGGATAAAGTGGTTGTTTTACAATTTAAACCTCTAAAAAGTAAGAAAAAGTAGGATGTGTCCACAAAAAACAAAAGGCGAAATGATAGAAAAGGTAAAAAGTGGACAAGTACAAGGGTAGTGGAGTTTGATTTAAAAAAGTGTTCATATTTTTTGGACAAATGAAAAAGGAAAGTATCTTACAAAACAGGATAGAGGTAGTAATTTCCTAAAGGAAAGTAATGTAGTATAATATGACTAGAATACCACAAAGAATGCTATAAAGTGCAATGGGGAATTTATGGTCTTATGGATGTAGAAAACTAAAGGTGGAATATGAGCAATTAAAGTTTTTCATTAAAGCGACATTTATTAAAGATTGGAGGGAGTAGGAAAACCACAAGCAAACAAGTTTAGTTTCTTACTTCTATGATTTTATCTGGCATATTATGGTGATCGTACAAAGAAATGATTCTAGAAAAAAGCCACTTTGAGATAGAGCGGGTGTGTGTGTGAAGGATCATATTCCATAGCATCACTGCCTCATCTGCTCTGTGGTCCATATCAAATGCCAGTAAAAGCAAACTGTAAGTGCCCATAGTTGCTCCTTGACCTTTGCCCAACATCCACTTGGCCACCTAACCATTCAAATTAGTACCCATATGATTAGTGAGACGATACTGCTCAGAATTTTTTGTAAACATCAATAAGGCCAATGTGTCGAAGAGAATCCGTATAACAAAGAAAACAGTTATTCATGGAATACTAATAGAAGTACTTAAAGCCAGGTTGAAATTTCAAACCTATTCTAAGGCACAATTGAACAAATTGTACAAACAATGGGAAGGGTTTAACTTTCTTGGGCTCTTAAAACTATTATGATATCCCAAGGTTTCCTTCTTTTACAATTCTTTGTAAGCGGGTACTAAATAAATAAACATGAACACAATCTTTAATTCTTTATTAGGGAGAAACAATGGAAACAACAATGAAAATTTCACACAAATAAGGATTTCCTTATAAAAAGGACCATTGACTCCATTTGAAAGGTGTCTTAATATAATGGGGACCGGAGGGAATATCAAACTTCACCCATGAACCAATCACAAGTTCCCAGTGAAGATCTGATACCTGAATTAGTTGTGTCCATTGTCTTCGCTTCCTAAGTATTCTTAAGGCCTTGGCTGCTGCAATCACTGGAAACTCAGTTTCCCACGCTACCCACCTATCCAGTGCACCATAAACAACACTCTTCTCATTCGGAAGTCCTGAAATCTGCAAATTCAAAGGCTGAAGTTAACAGAAATGCCATGTTAACCGTTTACCTGTAATGTGAATACTTTGCAAATGATGAAATGCGGAGGACTTGAGCGATTTTCTATTCACCATTCTTTTTTTCTCCTATTACTTATTGTTAGCATTTCGACCATACAGTGGATGCAAACAAATCAAGCCGCTTCCAAGCTACTCGTGAGCTGCTGGGTCAAAATTCGATTTGAGTCCATTCAAATTCAAACTCGGGATGAACTTGAGCCGAACACGAACCAACTTGTTAAGCATTTGAACCGAGCTCGAGCACAATCCTATTTGGCTCATGACTCACGAGCCGTTAACACACACATACATATATACATGTGAACATATATACACGTATTTGTTTATATGTATAATATAATCCTAATAATTTTGAAAATAAATTAGCCTAACTAGAGCTGAGCTCAAGCCGAAACTACTTTTCCCGCTCACCCTCGAACTCAAACCAGTACATTTTTTTTTATCTCGAGCACACCAAAGTTTGAGCTCAACTTGTCTCATTTTCACCCTAGACCAAACCAATAAGATTGAAATCAGAAATGACAATTCAGGTCAAATAAGACCACATGTTATGTTTCAGACAAGAAGAACAATAGATCAGAGACATTCTGACCAAACCAGGCCAGCAGACCAGACTTGAAACTTTCAGACAAGAAGAAATTCAGACCAGATCTTAAATAGTCATATCAGGTTGCATATTTTCAGGCGAAGAGAACATTTCTAGGCCGACAAACTGCAATAGTTCAATGAGTCCACTTCTAAATATCCCTCCTAGACACTTCCAACTGTACAGATGTTGTGTAGAATTTTCAAACAATCACTTCATATCGGTTAACTTTTCCCCAGGGAGGCAAATCTGTGCTCCACGCCTATACCTAACAGTTCCAGGTTTTATTGAGTTTCCTAAATCCATGACATAGAAATGAAACAGATCTGTTATTGGCATTAGTTGGTAGTATTTTACATACAATCCTAACAAGTTTAAGTGCCTTCTGCCCTGACCCAGTTGAATCTCTTTTCTTCCAAAGATGGTGTTCTTTCTTTCCCCTTTTCTGAAGTACATTCCTGCATTTCCCATTTACCAAATGCATTAGGTGAAAATTAATCAATACGGTCATGTGTGCCTTGAAATAAAAAGGATTAAAATATTGTCTCAAATAAAAGATTTTTGAACTGATGAAACTCACTTCTCGCCAGTATTGAATTTAGTCAGAGATCGTTCATTTCGACTGAGGGATAAGTAAGCAGGGGGCACACTGGTTAACTACATATTGAAATAGAAATTTCTAAAATGATGATAAAAGAGCTGTAATAAAAAGAGCATAAAAAACAGATGGCTGAGCATGGATCGTCAAGAACTGCAGTTAACAAAAAAAGATAGCTTGCCTTTTCAGCTGACACTGCAGCATACTTCACAGCCTTCCTCCTTGGAGAATGGTATATCGAGAACTGAATTGGCACCAAGCCCGTTGCTCTATCGCTTGAAATCTAAAATATCGCATGCAAAAAGATAACACTGACACTACCAATATGAATAAAAAGAAAATAAGATATGAATATTCTAGGCATCACCTGTTTTTGTGTCAGTGATGCAACTTGGTAAGGAAATCTATAAGCAAAGCTGCTGCACATCATACTTATGTTGTCCACTTCAAAAAGTTATGCGGAAAAACACAAAGAAATTGCTCTCAAGAGTCAAAATCAGGGGCATGATCACAAATACATTAGAAATTTCCATGAAAGGTCATTTTTAAACATCCTTAAACAATAAGAATCTAAAAGAGAAACATAAATCATGAAAAATCAGTACTTATTTCAGTTCGTGTATGAGCAACTTTTTTGCAAGTTGCAACCGTTAAATAAAATCAAGTGCAATACAATGATTGTATAATGTATGACTGTTTCGCAAAAATATAGATGGATTATTATTATGTATACTAGAACTATTGATTGAAAATTATATGGACTTTGAACTGCAGGTCTGAAACTGAAGTAATTGAAATTTGAGACACAGCATACCTTATGCTAAGAATGATTTGCAGCTACATATTACAAAAACTTGATAGGAAAATAAAATTAAATAAAAATTACCATGAAAATGGATAGATAGGTTGCAGACCTCTCAATGATAGAGCAACTTCTGAGTCAGGAGTTCTGACAGCTCCAGCTCAAGCATAGCCATAGAAAGCAGCCATCATTTATAGTAAAACCACTGCAGATAAGCAAATAAATTACAATAACTTTTGTTAGTAAGTTAGTTAAACAGTAATTGACCATAATGGACCGACACCATAGTTATTTAAACAAAACTAGGCAATTTTGATCTACGGTCTAGACTAAAACCACGGTATTAACCATATAATCCTATTCATTGTTAAGGACAATATATTATTTAATTCTATTATGCATCTAATCGTTGACCTAATTCTTGACGAATACAGAAAAGAGCTCCCACACAAACAGGAGCTTAGACAGGTTCTATTCAGATGGTGGCTGAAATCGAATCTTCAGACTTCGGAGGGAAGTCTCCGACAGATAATGCCCAGAGTTATTCTATGGCACATTTGGAAGGGTCTCAACGAAACCTTTTGGGATAATTGAGCCTTTAATGACTCCCAAATCTGTTTCCAAATCAAAAAACACATACAAAACTGGTGGTACATTAATCAGGGAGCAAAATTTTCAGAGAGACGGACTTCTATAAGGCTGGACTTATACCAGCTAAATTAAGAGCTCCTAAGTATAAAATCTTGATCTGGAAGAACACTCAACCATACCACTTGCGCTTGAACACTGACGCCGCATTTGATGAAGGTTTCTATGCCGGTGGAGCGGTTCTTAGGGATTCAGAGGGTGGTCTGCTCGCCGCTGCTTCAGGCTGAGATGCTTGCTGCCTTGACAGCGATTCGATGGTGCAAACAGATGGGCTTCAAAGGCTTTCAAGTTGAGACGGACTCACAACTCCTATGTAAAGCTATGGACAGCCTTCACCTATGACCTACCCCAATCATCTTCAAATGCTTGTGAATCAAATTCGGCAGAAAAGGATGGACCTCCAGCTGAGGATCGTCCACTGTTTCAGAGAGAGCAACAGGGTGGAACATACGCTTGCAGTAGAAGGCCTTTGATCGACTCAAATGGCAGTGTATAAAAAATGGGGAATTTGACTTTCCATCCTACTTTTGGGTTGGGTTGATACGGGACTTTGCAACCAATTTTGAAAAAAAATATAATTTTGCACTCTATTCCACTTAAAATTTCTTTGATTTTGTACCTCATTTAGAAAATTTTCTTCACAAAATGGTATGTGTTGGAGTGCAAAGTCAAAGTTTTTTAAAAATTGAATGCAAAGCCCAATATCACCTAAAAAGTGGGGTGTAAAGTCAAATTCCCCCTATAAAAATGGGAGGGAAGTTTCCAGAACAGTCAATAGTTTGCTTACTTTACATAGGGACGGCAGCCCTACTTTACAGGTTTAGGATGTTTTTACTTGGATCATAATTTGCTAGTATGGTATGGTCTGGTTTGATCCGGTCTGAACTGGTCTGATATCTTTGTATTTTTATAACTACCAAAGTTTAGGACATATTATAGTCCAAGTAAAAACATTCAGTTTTCATTTGTCATTTTGATCACATTCATTTGTAGCTTCCTTCTTGAGGTTTTTGTCATCTGTCCTCTTTTATTCTATTTCTCGGTAGGTGACACCCAGCTCCTATCCCACCAATCTGGTGGTTTACATTCTGGGTCAGAATGGGTAAGACATGGGTAAATGAGTTCAGAATGGGTCAACAATTGGATACTTGGTGGTCAATGAAAGTTGCATACTTGGTGGTCAATGAAAGTCATGAAACGTGTCTAATACTCTAATCACTTATGTGAATTAGGAACAATGCATAGATAGAACCATATGGTAGTTCATGCCTCTTTGGATGTTGACTATATCCGTGTTATATGATACCGCCATATTGGTTAGTGTCTCGAGCATTGCACTTATCAGGGTTGTAAAACTGACATGATATAGAGCTATAACAGTTTTGTGGGCCTCTGGATTAACACCAAAGAGAATTTATAAGATTCTGAGAAGTTTTTAGTGACACTCCAGACTCCAGAGTATGATATAATTTACAATGGCTGAAATAGGCACTGCAAAATGGGTATCTTCGAATATACAAATATACAATATCCTCAAGTTCTCTAAATAGGAGAGAGTTCTGAAAGCTTAGTTCAATTCTCACTCACTTCAAGGTAGGTGAAACAAGGAAATTGCCATTTTCACTATGAATGATGAAAAGGAGAGTTGTGAAATTATATGTATTAAAACTTACTAGTAGTACAGAGCTCAAAGCTGTATTAACTACTACTATATAAAGTATAACGTCTTCACATCATTTCATTTGCATACTATGAAGTCTACCTTACTAAAAAACCATTTACATGATTCTCCTCGCCGATCAAATAATTGTGTTCACATGGTGACAATGAAGGAATTTGTGGAGTAGTTAAATACTATGTAAAACATTAGGCAATCGGCTAGATTATATGCATTCTTCTAATTCAGTATTAAATATTCAGAGAATGAGAGAACCAAAATTCAAGCTCACATAACCAACTAAAGGCTCAAATTGAATAGAGTATCACTCATTCTTCTACTTGTTTAACACTGACATTATATATTTTTTGCATTAATTTTAAGGAAAAATCAAATTCCACTCTAAATAAGTTTCTATACAATTCATAAAGCATAAAAAATCAAGAGAGCCTCTTTTTGAATATTTGCAAAGGTAATTTTTGAACTTACATAGTATTTTATTAGTTTCATTCATGATCATATGTGTTTTTTGTCAATATTTACTAAGTTGACCCACTGTTGACAGTTACAGGTTGAAAGGTTGACCCGCAAGGTCAATGTTGGTCTATGAGACCCAATAAGTCAACCAAACTGCCTAAGTCCTGCTGAAGACATTGGGCATATTAATTATGAATAAGTTTGTACTTTGTAGGAATAAATATTTGGATCCAAAATTGCCACCATTTATGCATGCATTTGCAAAATAAAAACAATAAATTTATGTATGGGTTTCTGAGAATAAATGTAAACCAACCTCTATGTGTGACAATATTTTGAATTATGATACACATAGTACATACTTATGAGGGTATTAACCTTTATCAGAAATCCAAACGGGCAGCACACACTCACATACAAACTTTAATGTCAAAAAAGTAAAGAGTGTTGATTCTAAGTGAAAATAATTAAGTTCACATGTGCATGTTAATTTATTTTTCTCTGTGTGTGTTTATTCAATCAAAACTTATCTAAAAATAGCTTTTAACTGAATGGGTATACATAAAACCAAATGCTACATATAAATGTTTAGATAAATCTGTGAATTAATAGATAAACAAGATGCGTGATAAATCATAAATTTATAACAGACCAATTAAAAATGATGGCATTGTTGGGATCGTTTCTTCCGTCTCTGGCTCAGGTCTAGTACACTATACTCACATACACCACACTAGGAGGAGGCTATAGCACGCCTCTCTCTTTACTCTCTTTTTCTAACCACAAAGGTCAAAGGAACTCTTAAGGAGGAAGAAGGAAGACACTGCTCTCAGGAATACTCTCGTGGGGTTTACTCAAAAAGAGAGGGTAGATTATGCAGGAATCTTTGCTCCTATTGTTAAATTCATCACTATTCGTATGATGTTTGCTTTAGTTGCTCACCATGACTGGGAAATGAAACAAATGGATGTAACTACTGCATTTTTGCATGGTGAATTGGACAAAACAATTTATATGACCCAGCCTGAGGGCTTTGTGGATCCCAAGAGAAGTGAGCATGTCTGTTTGCTTAGGAAGACTTTGTATGGCCTGAAGCAATCCCCTAGACAGTGGAACATCAAATTTGATAAATGTATGATATCTTTGAAGTTCCAAAAATCTGTTTGTGATCATTGCCTGTATTTCAAAAATACTTCTTCTGTGTTTGTATTTTTGTTACTCTATGTGAATGACATGCTGATAATTAGTCTTTCTCTGAATGCTATTACAGATGTGCAAAAATACCTTTGTGCAAATTTTGCCATGAAAGACCTAGGTGATGCCAAGAGGATCCTAGGCATAAACATTGTAAGGGATAGGAATAAGCGTATTCTTACTTTGAATCAGATTTCTTACATAGAAAAAGTTTTGAGTAAATTCAATATGTTATCTGCTTCTCTTGTTAATGTCCCTATGGCATCTCACTTTGTGTTAAGTAAGGACCGTTCTTCCAAGACTGCTCCTGAAATTGAGAAAATGAAATATGTGCCCTATTCCAGTGCAATAGGATCGGTTATGTATCTTATGGTTAGCACTAGAACTGATATTGCATATGCGGTTAGTTGCTTGAGTAGATATATGTCCAACCCTGGTTTGCCCCATTGGAATGCTCTTAAGTGGTTGCTTAGATATCCGATATCTACTATGAAGCATGGATTAATTTTCTCTAAATGTGCTAGTGGTATTGAATTGATTGGTTATGTTGGAATCTTTAAAAAAAGAATTGGAATCCGAGGTTTTCGAAACGTGGTGAAACAGAAACGGCCCCGAAATGGGGATTTGAAGTTTCCGAAACGCTTCCGAGTTTTCGAAACGTGGAAACGTGAGCCATGGAGAGTTTCCGTGCTTCATAGACGCCTACCATTTACTCCGTATAATTTATGTTGAGAAGAAGTCCTCTAAAACTCTAAAAGACTTGAGGCCAAGCCCGAGTCGGCTTGTTTGAATTGAGTGTTGGGGAGTGTTAGTAATCAGTGTTGAGAAGTGTTAACATTAACACTTGTTTGGGGTGAAAAATTAAAAAGTGTTAGTGAGGGTTAATAAAGGTTAGGAAATGTTAGTAATTACCTCCCCAACACCTCAATTGTCTACCTTTTTAACACCCCAATTCGGAGTGTATTGAGGTGTTGACAATTAATACCCTTCAAATTGATCGATGTCTCAATTCTCTTTGCCGAAGCTCTTCCCTTCAAGTGTTCTTCTTGCGCAGCTCTTCTCCTCTGCCATAACTTTTAGCCTTCGTCCCATCTCTTTGTCTGTTTATCAAGTTAGTTCTCCAAGAAACATCCACTTTTTCATATATATATATATATATAGAGAGAGAGAGAGAGAGAGAGAAATCATCATGTCAGGTCAGCCTGAGCGGGAGAGCCGTCCGGCCGAGCCCTTTTGGCAACCTTCCCGGTGGAATTTTTTGATGAAATTTTTGGAGCATGTTCCTCATCAAGTCTAGTTTGTCCATACCAAATTTCAGCTCAAAATGCGATAGGGAAGGCATTCAAATCATTTTTTGAAGTTGATTTGCGTCAAAATATACATATAAAAATGCAGTCAACTTCAAAAAATGATTTGAATGTCTTCCGGATTGAATTTTTAGCTGAACTTTGATATGGATAAACTATACTTGATGGAGAACATGCTCAAAAAATTTCACTAGGAAGGTGCCCAAACGGGCTTGGCCGGACGGAGGATTCCGTTAGGCCGGCCTGACAAGAAGAGCTCTCTCTCTCTCTCTCTCTCTATATATATATATATATATAACAAGCTCCAGCTGTCCAGCATGGAAAAGTTGTGATCCTGGCCGTTCGTATAACCTCAATCCAACGCTACAACATTGATAAAAAGGTCGGACAGCTTTTCCCTCCGGTAGTTCGGAGGAGAGCACTTCTCTCTCTCTCTCTCTCTCTCTCTCTCTCTCTCTCTCTCTCTATATATATATATATATATATATATATATATATATATATCGGGGTGGGATCACATGCAAACTGTTGGGTGTGTTTCGGAAAATAAAGAAAATTAATTAAAATAAATTAATTAAATAAAATGACGAAAGAAAACAAGAAAAGAGATGGAGCAGAATTTGTCAAAGCTCGTGCTACGCACGATGTCCTTAAAACGTATTTGTTGCCTCCCACGGTGCTAGGAGCGTTGCAACAATAGTTTCCCAGGATACGATGACAACGAACTAGTGTTTGAGCACTCAAACAAAAGTTCTAGCGAACGAGAACAAAGACTGAACACAGAGGATTTTGCAGAAAGCCAGCAGTGTGTTTTTAGAGCTAAAACGTGTATGAATTCGTGTAAGAACGTGTA